TATACAGCGCAAAGCACGAACCGTTTTCCGCGAATACAGGCAGACACACTTACTTGTTCCAGGTTACTACCATTAATAATCTTTATCTCAACAGACTTGTAAACGCTGGTCACGGCAATAAGCACTCCTCCAAACTTCGCTTTCTGGCTATTACGAGCACTGCGATCGCAGCGAAATACATTAAAGTCAGTACCAAAAAGTTGCAGTGAGTTGATGCTGTCGTCAAGGCCCGTTTCTATCAATATGATGACATCGTAATTGCAATCACATACCGCTACAACCAGGTCGTCAATTTTGGTTCTTAGACCACGTACGTTTTGGAAGTAAAGCCAAACATCGTTGTCAGGCTTCCAAAATGCTTATTTTTGCGCGTCCCGGGGTCCATCCATCGGTTGATTTGCTGCAAACGTCGTCTGCGGTGTCACTGGCGTGGGTGTTAGATTCACACCAGATGTACTCCGAAATTTTTGAGCCGAGTGATCTTCGAATTCACGGAATAGAACTCCTTCGGGCCAAGATGACGGATCCAAAGCTCTCTTCTTCAAAGCTGGGTCTAGACCGACTTTGAATGAAATAAAGGTGTTGTTACTGGTGTCGGTTCCTTTGGCGACCAATTTCACAACATCAGGTTCATTTTCGAGTTCCAGTTTTTCACATGTAGGTACAGAGATGACGTTCTGACCCAACAATTTTGAACCAGACTGACACTCAGATGTTTTATGAAGGTTTGCACCCATCATTCCCAAAAACAAAAGAAGCGCTCCGCCCAAATCATGTTTTATCTTCATCCGCTAGGCCGAAGTGAATTCATTAGCGTTTCAATGGCGTTTCAATGCGTTAGGCCGAGTTTAGAATCCGTAGGCCGAGTTTGGCGTCAAGAAGAAGTGTTAGACATTTGACAATGTCTCAACGATTAGTTTCTCTTTATCAAATCTTACGGTACATAAGTAAATAAATTTGGCAGTCATCAGTAATAATAACATTTCGTTTCGTACTAAACTGCGCTAGATTAACAGAGACTAAGTGCGGGTTGTGCTTAATAGGCCGGAAATGGGGTAGTTAACCCTACTCTCATAACTTTCCATAATTTCAAATCGTTAGCTAGAAAAAGAATTTAATCCGCAGTAAACATTGTTGACGAATGGACACATGGAAGAGACTTACAATTTCCACTGGAAAGTCACACTTCATCCATGTTAGTAGCAATAGGAAAAAGAAAAGCAAACTACCGGTACACGCTTTAAATCAAACCACTATTTCAGTAGGTAGCACATTCCTTGGGGTTTACCATAACCGATCACTCAGGTTTAGACACCATGTAGATATTGTGCGGAAATCCACTGAAAAACGGTTTCGGGTAATTAAAACGATTGGGTCCAAATGCAAATTATTAACAGTTGGCTTCTGTCCAAAATGTTTTATGGTGCTGGTCTTTTTAGCAGACGCGGAGATCTTGTTAATAAAAAGCTACGTCCTATGTACAGTAATGCATTCCGTTCAGCCTCTGGTGTCTTTATCACTAGTCCTATCTCTGCTGTGATGGCCGAATGTGGCCAACTTACTTTCGAACATTACCTGACAGTCTGTGTGGTGACTAAAGCTGCCCGTTGGCTAAGTTTTAACGGTCGTGACAAGTAACAAGAGCAAACAAAACCTCTCAACTCCCTGACCAAACTTAATCTCCCTTGAATTGGAAATCAGAACTAGAACTAGACCATGGAACCAGTATCCTCTCAAAATAGATCTCTCTCTCTCTTCTCCTCCAAGTAAAAACCGGTGACCCTCCGTCTAAAATACAACATCATTTTCACATTCTCCGCTCTGAAAAATAGAATAACTCCTTTCACATTTATACCGACGGATTTGTATCTAATGGCAAGGTCAGCTACGGTATCACTAACGAATCAAACACATCAGTTCCTCCCTTCCTTTATTCTGCTCCGTCTTTTGTGCTGAAGCTTACGCTCTCATGAGAGCTTCCAACTTGTACCCAAATTACTTGCTCAACATGACACCTCCATTAAATAGAAGATGTCTTAGGAAAAGTATGAATAGTAATTATTAGATGATGAACAACTCAGTTCTGAATCCGCTCACTAGGCAGTGTTAGTATACTATTTAGCATCAAGTTGTTTGCTTAGCTTGACATCTCGACTAGTGATTCCGATGCATAAGGCCTTTTGAATGGTCATGCTCAGTGTGCAATTTGCATCCTTGTTTTAACTTGCCAGCACGATCAAAAAACAGGATTCTATCGTCAGTGAAGTTATGTGGACGGACAAACTTATAGCCAGCGGCGGAAACTTACGATTTTAAATTGGCTCACTACTTGACTAGCCTATTGGTCCCAAGCAAATCGATTAAAGTACCCCATTCTAGTCGAAATTATAGAACACGCTTATTCTGGTCAACTCAAAATTGAGTCAAATGTACTCATCTCAGCGGTAAGTAGTGCTACTCAAAATTGAGTAGCCTTATGTTGACTCACTTTTGAGTTAACGACGCTCTCACGTAGACTGATTCAAATCCACTCAGCGATATTTAAAGTTGCGGGGGGTGGGCGGTAGTTTGGTTTTTTTTAATTTTATTAAGGAAATGAAAATTGTCTGCCCTAAGCAATTTCTACTTACCTGAAGGAATTTCCGCCCGTTTTGAGTGAAACATTCACCCGTTTTCTAGGACGTTTCCTCCAACATGGTTGACATTTTTTCAAAGTTCAGTATTTTGCTGACGGAGTGGCTTTTACTGAGTTTGACATTTCTCGTTTACTCAGTTTTTGACAACTCGATACATCGGACGAAAGTGAGTACGCTCGACTCGCCCGGTGAGTAAACTAGAGTTAGCGTGTACTACACTATGTTTGTTTTGATTCGCTATGAAAGCTTGACAGATAAAATGAGGGGTTCGTGGATTTTCTTATGTTTCGAGGGGTGCATCGATTAGCTTGGGACCGAAGATAGTACCAGAGCTGAGCCAAAAAGTTGAGCACATTTCTTCGGGACCTTCTGGTCTTAGAGTTACCTCTATGCTTATAGCATGATTGGCCTCTCAGCTCAGAATACACTTACCATACAGCGCTAGTGGCATTTTTGATTCTAAATGCTAGCAAAGATATCCGGTTATCAAGGTGGTCATCTGAGCGATTTATCCATGTATGTATCCACATTAATCCGGACACCTTCAAATACTGTAATTTTTGAAATATTGCACGTAGGAGTGAAACATTTCGCTGGGATATCATAGTTCGAGATCATTGATGAAAAAAACTATGATTGGTGTTTACATTCCATGTTTAGTGTTCAAGATGGCGATGAATGAAAACACGTGCGTGAGCAGATTTTGTACGGACGTCATGCAAATTCTGACTTGTCAATACGGAATCTTGCAAAAAAAATATTTACCTAAATCCACTATTCACGGTGTTGTCAATTTCGGAACGTTTGACGGTCGAGCGGAAACCGAGAAGTGATAAAAACATTGGACGCGCGATCCTGCCATAGACCGAAAGGTGAAGAGGATATTCACGGAAAACCCGAATCCCTCTGTTCAAACGGTGGCTCGTTAAATAAGAATGTCACTTGGTTTTGTCCAAAAATCAAAGGAGCGTTTGGAGCGGAAATCGTATAAAGTAAAAACAGTTCTAAATCGCAACGACAAACAGAATTTGACAGCTAAATCACGGATTCGACGTTTGTACTGCGAATATTTGAAAAAAAATTCATGCGTTGTTATGGACGAAAACTTATGTCCTGAAGGATTTCAAGCAGCTTCCTGGGCTGGCTTTCTATTCTGCTATGGCCAAAAATGCTACATCTGAGTATTTCAGGAAATTTCCCAAAAAATACCTTATTTGGCAGGCAATTTGCACGTTTGGCTGAAAGAGTAAACCTTTCGTCACTACAGATTTACCAGAAAGAGTTAAAGCCCTACAGTAAAAGTATGGACGTCTGTCAAAAGTTATTCCAATCGAACCGTCAAAATGCACCGTTTTGCTCGATTGGAACAGCTTTTTTCAGTTTTGTGGTGACAGTCGTCCATACTTTTACTGTAGGGCTTTAGAAAGAGTGCCTGCCGAGGTGATTGCTACCCAATGAGCTGGATTACCGAGGTGGAGCAGTCGGTTAAGTTGTGTGAGTAAAACCCCTGTATGATACATGCAATTAGTGACGTCACTAATTGCGTTTAGGTTGATTTTTTGGATTACTAATACAACCATATTTCACGATCTGCTTCACCTCTCTCTGTATCTCCTTGATTGCTACCTTCCTTTTAGTGTATTTCGACAGTGAGCATGCATAAGGGCGAATACGCGATGATCGATTCTCTTCATCGATTTTCTCTTTGCATTGCTACAGCTAAGCGAAACAATTTTCTAGAATTTGTTTAATGCAGAGTAGTAACATAGAGGTAACTCTAAGACCACTGGGTCCCGAAGAAAAGCATTATTATTTTTGGCTCACTCAGTACCAGAACAACGGTCCCAAGCAGTCCCAAGCTATTTCACTCACCCTTGCATGTTCTGCATGAATCCACACACCCCTGATGTTATCTGTCAAACTTTCATAGCGAATCAAAACAAACATTGCATAGTACTAGAATTTCGACTAGAATAGGGTACGTTGATCGTTTGCTTGGGACCAATAGGCTACTAAAGTGGTGAGCCAATTTAAAATCGTTAGTTTCGTATTGATTGTTGGTAGTAACAGGTTGTATTGGCTATCAAAAGCAACATCAAACGCACCGAGAAACGTTAAATCTAGCGAGTTATTAACAAAAGAGAAAATCGACGAAGAGAATCGATCATCGCGTATAGGCCCTTATGCATGCTCACTGTCGATTTGTTTATTTAACCTGGTTCAGTTCCAACCTGCGCACTGAAAGAAAACAAACGATTTCGGATTGTGATTCAGACGATATGATGGTGTGCGTAAAATCGCGCCGAACAAGCATCGAGGTGTCAAAACATTTGCGTTTCATCCTGGGGTTTCATCATATATTCTCTAAAGAGACTGGAATATACAAAGAGACGACATGTTCCGATTGGAATTCCACTTTATCTGTCAGTGTCATTCCAATCGAGCACGACACCTGCCAAACTAAAAAATGTATGTTAATTGTTGGGGAAGTATTGTTATCTGTTTTATTCGTTATTATGTTGTGACAGTCTATGAAATGATGCGTCTGAACTAAGTCCATTATAGCTACAAGCTTTTCAAATTGATTAATTTCGTCAGCATCTGATGTGTTTACATGTCTCCTTATAATTGTTTCCAAATTAACGAAAAATAAAAACGTTTCTTCATTAGCATAAATTAAGGCGTGTCCCGTAAAGTCCTTCAGTATTGTGAATTTACTGAAATTGGCTAAGTATGGCTGAGTTGAAATACATTTGCTCACGCAAATAGTACAAACCGACCCCTTCTTAGCTACCTTACGTATGATTAATCCTGAAATATGGTACAGCACATTCCGTTCTGACTCATTCAGTGTATGTAATACTGGTGGTGCAATAGGTAGATCTGATGGTACAGCAACAGGCAGGCACATATTTTCCTTTTCAGATTCCTTTTTCTGCGCTAGATGATGAACATTGCTCGGGAAGTCAATAAGCCATTCCCTATCGTCAGGATCGTATGATGACCCAGGTACATCAGTTAAATATTGCGATATACAGATTGATTTTAATAGGTTCCTGAACTGTAATGCCGTTGGCCTCTTTTGCCTAACACGAATTTGTGAAAACAGATTTTCAATACAGTCCTGGGTAAAATGAGCAGTTAATAAAAATGAATAATTTCTCCTATTCAAAAAATAGTCCTGTAGTCGTAAAATAGAATTTGTGGCTAGAATGATGGATGATTGCCACGGTTTCCACTTTCCTTGATAGCCTACCCCTACTGAATGTATCATGCTCTTGAAGAAACAAAGGAACTTTAGTGTTTCTTTTAAACTTCTGGTTTACCTGTAAAATATGAATATGTACATTACAACATAAAACATATACTGATAGTGAATTACGATACTTGCTTTTACCCAGAGCCATGCAAAATTTTCTATTCGACGACAAATTGAACCATTTAGAAAGACATTCTATGAAATATGCAGTGGCAATTACTTCAGGGCGGTTTGCCAATTGGCTGTAAAAACGAAGTGCTGCAGAAACATTGGTGTTCACAAATTTCTGTGAGTTGATCACCTTCATCGCGTCGTATTTACTCTTCTTTTTGAAGTCCACATCGTCTGGTTTCAACTTCGATGCCACTTTCAGGAGATTATGTTTCTCAAAATTTACAAGTTCCGCAATGTGGTGTATGTTTACCTCCGATGTGCACAAATTGTTTGCTGTCACTACTTCCGGTGGTAAATAAAGAACTTCATTGTTGACCCAACCTTGCACTGCTGATTTGAACACATGTACTACGTCCGGCATGACTTCCAACGTTCGCTTATGATCAACAGGATGCGTAATTGGGGTACTGCTCAATACATCAGCCTTGAGGAACTTCAAGCCAATGTCGTTCCATAATTTTTATTGCCTGGAGCACAATCGGATGTTATAAAGTGTACTTTGCATCCTATGGCTTCCACTTTGAAGATTATGTCCCATAGAATGTTCTTGAGTATTTTTTCCGACACACTGTTGCCTGTAAAATGGAATGCTACTACCTGTTTCCACCTACTCCTGATTCCTACTAGCATAAATACTAGAGCATGGCTGGCCAAAACGCTTTGATCTTCTGTTGTCACGTTCCCATAGAACTTTCCAGATGAAATACAATATGATCGGGCATCCTCGATAGACATTTCGTCGAACACGATGCCACAGTCCAAGTCAGCATCTTTCATCGTGTTGACTTTCAACCTCAGAAGCTCTACCACACCGTACAATATCCCACTGTCGAAGCCTATATCTTCCATCCTTCTTTGCAATGTTCGCTCCGATGGAATAGACGATACTTTTGACGCTCATTCTCATATCCTTTTTTTCCACACGCGAATTTTGTTTTCAGGCTTTCGGTAATTGTTGCATTGCTCCATTTCTTAGGTCGCTGCTTATCGTACAATAATACTTCAACCTGGTCGGTATTGAATGTCTTGTTTAAAGCCTTTAATGCTAGCTCATGTTGGTTGTTTTGCATCGAGGTGTCAAAACATTTGCGTTTCATCCTGGGGTTTCATCGTATATTCTCCATATTCGCGCGTAGGAAGAGTAATGCCACGGATACACCTGAAATACAAACTATGAGCATGAGCATTATTTGTATAATAATTATGAGCACTACACAACAACTATACAAAAACTATACAAGTGTGACCATGGATGATCTCAAAATTTAGACCATAGTTCTTCCATTTGGGTTATCGTTTGTTTAAGGATGCGGAATGAACTACACAACAACAACAAAACTAATATCGATCAACGTTATTCAAGCTGATGTATGAAATAATGATATAATAGCAAAAATCATGTACCTACAATACTACATCAATGGATGTAATTTTGTTGGCAAAATCGATATACATCGTACAACCAGTGGAATGACCTCTGTGCAACTGTTTGGATGTCAACAACAACTTTTCTTTCTGTGTATGTGCAACTGATTCCTCTGCGTCACAGAGCCACTTATTCCATATTTGAACCAAATCGGTCAAAATTTACCCATTTCTAAAGCCGGTTGGGAAAATCATTAAAATGCATGGAGTAATCCACGGCTTCAATGCTTTGCTACTAGGCAACGTTGTTCACGTGCAAACACATCTGAGATTCTCATTGTAAATTTTATGCTGAACAACTTTGTCCAAGACCGTAAGACGATCCGAGTTCATCCAAAAAAGTTATTAGTATTTCAATGAAGTCAAGTCTGATTGATGCTGCAAAAGGGCCTTTTCCCTTTTTCAGCCATAGTATTTATCCTTTATCCATACATTTTGAGACAACCTGATTTATGAATCGTTAAATGTTGGCCAATTTGCCTCAAATTTGGACCAAAGCTTGGATCGGCAAAAGCTAGGTAGAAGAAGTCAATATTCCATTTTTAAGCAAGTGCTTTGCGTACACTACCCGTCGTAAGTATGGAACCGTTTGGAAACATATTGCAACATTCATATTGAATATTAGGCCGTATGAATAAAACAATTTGAGTAAATGCTCCCGTGCTTTTCTTATGGAGCGTACTCTTAAGTAAAGGGTGATACGGTCAAAATTTGGTCAAGGGAAAACGCGTGTAAATCGGTGAAATCGTTTATTTAAAAAATCAAATTAAATTTCTTTTTCAAGTTCAATTAGTATAAAATTCAGGAAAAATATTCAGTTAGGCTTCCGCTTTTCCAAATCCGAATTGCCGGGCCTTACGCTTGACCCCTGCCATCAGATTTTGTACAGCCACCTTGTCCACCTTCTTCGCCGTTTGCCTTGAACTGCTGCTCGCCCTTAGCAGTTTTTTTTTTGGTCTTCTTTAGGTTCCGCTTGACAATAGCCCAGTATTTCTCAATTGGGCGGAGCTCTGGCGTGTTGGGAGGGTTCTTGTCCTTGGGAACCACCTGTACATTGTTGGCGGCGTACCACTCCATGGCCTTTTTACCGTAATGGCAAGATGCCAAATCCGGCCAAAACAGTACGGAACAACCGTGTTTCTTCAGGAAAGGCAGCAGACGTTTATTCAAACACTCTTTCACGTAAATTTCTTGGTTGACAGTCCCGGAAGCTATGAAAATGCTGCTTTTCAAGCCACAGGTACAGATGGCTTGCCAAACCAGATATTTCTTTGCGAACTTTGACAGTTTCATGTGCTTGAAAACATCTGCTACCTTTACCCTTCCTTTTGCCGTATAAAAATCCTGTCCCGGAAGCTGCTTGTAGTCGGCTTTGACGTAGGTTTCGTCGTCCATTACCACGCAGTCAAACTTCGTCAGCATCGTCGTGTACAGCCTCCGGGATCGCGCTTTGGCCGTCGTATTTTGTTTATCATCGCGATTTGGAGTCACTACCTTCTTGTAAGTCGATAGTCCGGCTCGTTTTTTGGCTCGATGCACGGTTGTAGACGATACACCCAGCTTATTTGCGGCATCTCGGAGAGAGAGGTTAGGGTTTCGCTTGAAACTACCGGCAACTCTCTTTGTCGTCTCAGCGGCTTTCGGTTTTCGATTTCCCCCCGATCCAGACTTCCTGGCTGTCGACAAACGTTCCCCAAACACTTTAATTACATTTGTAACGGTTGATTTGGCAACTTTTAGCGATTTTGCCAACTTTTCGTGCGAGTAGCTCGGATTTTCGCGATGCGCGAGCAAAATTTTGATACGCTGCTCTTCTTGCTTGGACGGCATTTTGACAACTGAAGAGTGAATTCCAAAATCAAAATAGGAGCAACATTCTACACACACACACCTTCAAAATGAGGGGTGTTCAGGTTTTTTAAATGCAAAATTGAAAGAAATACGTCAAGTTGATATTGAACAAATTTTGACCGTATCACCCTTTATACTCTTTTATTCATACGGTCCATTGTATCACCTCCCAAAAACTTACCTGGAAATCGTCGAAAAACGTAAAAACTTTTGAAATTACTTCTGAAAGCTCTGAACTACTTCGGAAAAGCTTGGAATCACTTCAGGACGTTTGAGATGAACTAGCCGTTGGTCAAATATCTAAAAAATAATCAATTTCAAAAACATCACAAAGTATTGAATTACTACAGAAAATTTGGAAAAAAAAACTTCGAAAAGTACTGAATCACATCGAAAAAGTTTGAAATAATTGCTTCTGAATCACTAAATAAAATTTTGGAATCACTTAAGCAGAAAAGTTTTGATTTATCTCCGAAAACTTAAGAATATATTCGTCATATTCTGAATCACTTGGAAAACTGTGGAATCACTTGAGAAAAATTGGGATGAAATTTTTTTCAAAACCTAGTAGTTTCAGAAAACTTTGGAATGATAAAGTTTTGATTTCGTTCGGAAAACTTTGGAATTATTTCGGCATGTAATGAATCACTCGGATCACATTACACAGAAGCACCGTACCACCAAACATGTTCCACACGAAATTGTATTTCACCTTCTTTCACACAAAGCGAGGTCCCTTTCACGATCCTCTCTTATTAGCTAATCTCCTTTCCACGAGTAGATTGTAGGTACGAGTGAACAGCTGATAGGTGCAATAAATTAGGTATCCAATCGCGCGCGTACACAGATGTGTTTATCATTATTCCTGTGAACTTTTTTCGAGAAGAATAAAGTCTGCTCCACTTGCAAATAACCGCAATTAGTGATTTCATACGGTGAAAGATTAAAGTGTAAGGTCCGAAATCCTGTCAAATTGTGAACGGTCCTGTGCGAACAGCAATCATAGGTGAAAAATCAATGGAATGTTTAGAATGTCTTGTCATTACTATGCAATTTTTATTAATTTTAAAATTGAAACGGATTCATTCGTGTAATAACAGAAATAGTAATCGTACCACAAGGCATCATCGAAACCGAAAATCACATTTGAAACCAGTACCTCCCTTACAAATCTCCCGTTATTACGCGTTTATCTTGCTGCTGCATTTGTATCATGGAAAAAAAACATTTCGGACATAACTTTAGTTGCATGGTTAAACTTAGTTTATACATCAGATACGGATGCTTTTTACTATGTCACACACAAGATTCCTTCAAGTTAGGAGGATGAAAATGTCTAATTGTAAACCATTATCTATTTGCAGCAAACCCTCGAAGAATGGCGCATCGTATTCTGGGTCGCTTTCTGGGTACTGATCTTCACCAATGTCATCTTCATTTTATTCGGATCCGGAAAAATTCAACCTTGGAACGATCCTTCCCCGGAAACGGAAGACAATTGAGTTCTATTTTTTACTTGAAATATACGTCTGCTCCTTCATAGCACACCATGGATTTAAAAACGCCTGAATTCATATTGCTCTGCTCTGGGGTTTTTTCCCGCGCCTCCGTAAGAAAGCAATACAAATTCGTTTCTGGGCCGAAAAAATGCCAACCCAGTGCTGCGTTCCTGTTCAATCGTTGTGTTTAAATTTCACA